TTTAATCGCAGTTTAAAATATTAACCGCAATTTGAAATAGTAGTCGCAGATTTTTAAATATCTGTTTTAATCGCAGTTTAAAATATTAACCGCAATTTGAAATAGTAACCGCAGTTTTTTAAATATCTGTTTTAATCGCAGTTTAAAATATTAACCGCAATTTGAAATAGTAATCGCAGTTTTTTAAATATCTGTTTTAATCGCAATTTAAAATATCTGTTTTAACCGCAGGGAGTATCTGATCCATTCACATTGCCTATCACTTGTATATCCACAGACATAGTACACCTCGGCCCAGTGAACGTATCTACAAACAAAATACATTACAGTCGTATATAGGTACAACATAAATCTATATTACTATATTTGTATATTTTAACGACAAACAAAATGTGTTGCATTCGCATATAGGTACAACATATATTTAAACCACTATTTGTATATTTCAACATATCTATAAACAAAGTACATCACAGTCACGTATAGATACAACTTACCTTTAATCCATTCTCTTCCTATATTTGAATGTACGCCCAAACAAAGCACACACTACAGTCGCATATAGGTACAACATATATTTAAACCACTCTATTTTTATATTTAACGTATCTATAAACAAAGGTACATTACAGTCGCATATAGATGCAACACAGACCAAATCTTGTATATTTGAACTTATCCCCAAAACAAAGCACACGACATTCACATATAGGTACAACGAAACAAAGTACATTAAAGTCGCATAGAGGTTGAACTTATCCCCCAAACAAAGTACACGACATTCACATATAGCTACAACGAAACAAATACATTACAGTCGCATATAGGTTGAACTTATCTCCAAAACAAAGTACACGTCATTCACATATAGGTACAATGAAACAAAATGCATTACAGTCACATATAGGTTGAACTTATCCCCAAAACAAAGTACACGACATTCACATATAGGTACAACTCACATATAGGTACAACGCGCATATAGGTACAGCCTACCTCTAATCCATTCTCGTTGCATACAACCCATGTCGCCACAGACGCAGCACACCACTGCGGTGGCTGTGGGCGAACTCATGGAGAGCCGAGACGATGAGCAACGCCGCTGCGAGAAACTGACGGATGATATGAATGTCATACGTGCATACATAACCCTCGCTACATCATCGGAGAAACGACGGTCCCTGGAGCTGCAACTGTTACAGGTATGGTGTATACGCTTTGTTTCAGGGTTTGGGGTTTTAGTGTATATATAGGTTTAGGGGACGCTTTCTTGAATTGTAATGGTGTGTCATAGCCGCACTCGTTTGTTGCAGATATGTTGGGTGGGCCCTCTATCTCTCTAGCTATTGCGTCCTTATATAGTGTACGTGGTGTTCACTATTGCGTTCTTATATAGTGTATGTGATGTTCACTATTGCGTCCTTATATAGTGTACGTGGTGTTCACTATTGCGTCCTTATATAGTGTATGTGGTGCTCACTATTGCGTCCTTATATTGTGTGCGTGGTGTTCACTAATGCGTCCTTCTATAGTGTATGTGGTGTTCTCTATTGCATCCTTATATAGTGTATGCGGTGTTCACTATTGCGTCCTTATATAGTGTACGTGGTGTTCACTAATGCGTCGTCCGTATATAGTGTACGTGGTGTTCACTAATGCGTCATTCTTATATAGTGTACGTGGTGTTCACTAATGCGTCGTCCTTATATAGTGTACGTGGTGTTCACTAATGCGTCGTCCTTATTTAGTGTACTTGATGTTGGTGGGGATGGGTGGCATTCGTATAATAAGCGCATCTGGCACTTTCGTTGGGGCGGGTCTACGCGGCTGTGTATTGCTTTGTGCTTGTTATTGCGCGTCGTAGATTGACTGGATAGTATGTCTACCCATCATCAGTGTATGCTACTATGGATTCAAACCCTGTATGCATTGTGATCTGTATGTAAGGTGAAGGTGAGCCCCCTCTGAGATTCTCCTGCGACACACCCAGCTATTTGAAACTCGGACTGTGGCAGATTATATGTACATGCATAAGCTTTACAGCCGAATGACTATCAAGGCTTTGTAGACCTCGGCAGTATATGCAGCTGTTCCCATTAGTGTGTACTCAGACACCCCGTTCTGATCTCTTGCGCACTTTTGCCTTGCCTGACTATAGCTCATTTGGAAATGATAGATACGCCAGATACATATACATATATATCATATAGTAGGTAGAATAATAGCCATACAGTAGGTAGAATAATAACCATATATTAGGTAGAATAATCATAATCACCGCTGAATCGCTGCCAAGGCTTCGTAGGCCTCGGCAGTATATGCAATTGTTCTCGTTCATTAGTGAGTACATGGGCACCCTCAACCCTATCTCTGGTGCACCTTGCCTGAGTATAGGTCATTAAGACTTGTTATCTCTTCCACCTAAGTCACATGGTAGGTAGATTTGATATCTAGTCCACCTGTATGTCATATGGTAGGTAGATTTGATATCTATTCCAATTTAAGCTACATGTCATATGTAGGTAGCAAAATCAAGCACAAGCAGAATCTCACCAATGTGTTTGCTGTATAGCAAAATCAAGCACAAGCAGAATCTCACCAATGTGTTTGCTGTAGATAGACCTTTGTCATAAGACCATAGAATGCATACCTTTTTATAAACATATCATGGTATAACTAAGCCATACCATACCACACTGTTTAGTATAATAGAGTGAACGCCACTCATAGGACGATAGAATGAATACCTATTTATAAACATAAAATAGTATAATATATAGGAGCCTTACCATAAAACAGAGTGTACCTATAAACACGCCATTGTATAACTAAACCATACCATACCACACTATTAAATATAACAGAGTATACCTATAAACACACCATAGTATAACTAATCCATACCATACCACACTATGTCATATAACAGAGTATACCTATAAACACACCATAGTATATCTAACCCATACCATACCACACTATGTCATATAACAGAGTATACCTATAAACATACCACAGTATAACTAACCCATGCCATACCACACTTTGTCATATAACAGAGTGAGCGCGAAGTGGCGAACGCGCGCGAGAATTTGGAGAAGATGAACAAGTCCGTGGCCCAAGAAATGCGTAACTGGGGCCTACGAGACGTCGAAAGGGCTCTCAAGGCAGACATGCACAAGCACGCTATAGCCAATGTGAGCTCGCTGAAGCAAGTATGTGCGGGTGGAGAGTAGGGTTTGTAAACCGGAGTGTCTGCTGAAGCAAGTATGTGCGGGTGGAGAGTAGAGTTTGTGTACCGGAGTGTCTGCTGAAACAAGTATTTGCGGGTGGAGAGTAGGGTTTGTGCACCGGAGTGTCTGCTGAAGCAAGTGTGTGCGGGTGGAGAGTAGGGTTTGTGTACCGGAGTGTCTGTTGAAGCAAGTATGTGCGGGTGGAGAGTAGGGTTTGTGTACCGGAGTGTCTGTCTCGGGCCACCAATTATAGATAATGGTAACGGGTTACCACCACAGCTGAAGCTCTTCTCCTCGTTCTGCTTGGAAGTGCGCACTCATGCGTGTGTGTGCTTTCATGATGTATTGGTTCTGAGGTGGGTGTAGTTGGTATGTGTGTATGGCCATGTACACGGCTGGCTCGTAAAAACCTACAACCCTTAAAACCCTAAAATCCCTGTATTCCGGTCAGTGATCATTACACAAGTGTACGTGTGTGAGGGGATCCATGTGCCTGTCTTTGTGCCGTGGGTGTTGTTGTGTGGCCACATGCAAATCATATCTCACAGTCAATAACAAGTGCTACTGTGGGTTTGGCTGGTTTTAGTGGTAGCTGTGTCGTACCGCTACCTGGTGCTTAAGTTCGTGAAAATCCGGCATGGTGTGTGTATATTCTCTACATGTGTGCGTATACATGTGTGCCTATATGTGTTAAGATAGATTACAAGAACGCCCGTGTGCGTCAGTCGCCTTCAGAGGCATGCAGCCTTGCGAATAGGCCAGATACAGATCACGTGTTTGCGATGAGTCACGCTTTATTGCCATAGATTGAGATCAGGCGGCGTTGTAGGGCTCCTGAGTGGACGCCAACCGCGTAAGCTTGGAATGTCCTCAGAGACGTGCTAGGTCTTCAGAGATGGGCTATGCTTGATGGAGGATGGTGGCTAACTCGTACTACACTTTGCTCCCCCATCCCATCATAGGCCAACGCACAGTGTGAGAGTCTACTAGAAACCCTGGAAGCTCTGGGCTGAGAGCAAACCTTGGAAGCTCTTGGCTGAGGCATGTTTTGTTCCTCTAGAATCCATCCTATGGTTCGTTGACGCGCCGAGAACCTGTGTGCAGGAGGGCTACCGAGGGAGCCCCACGCGCCCCTTCACCATGGTCAGTGTTGGGTATTGGGTTTTGCTAATAAACACTTACATCGCCACACCAATAAACGACATTGGTAATCCTGAGAGTGTCTGGGGTACCTATGGATATGATCACGGCCGTCAGGCAGCTAGGCGGGAAACAGTAAACACCGATGGAAATGTCAGTCGTGGCACTCTGTGAGCAATTAAGAGTGGTTTAGGTTTTTTAGGGTTTAGGGTCATTAGGAAGCGGTGGGGCTCTATGTGTCCATTGAAGCCTAACACTCGTTTCTTGTGTCTCGAGTGATACTGCATCTTACACGCGCCGAGGTCTATAAATAAACGTTTTGTATACAATTTTACAAAGGACTGATATAAAAGGCAGGCTTTGATAAATTCCGTGCACATTATTTGTTGTAGTTCAAGTACAAGTGACATTTATCTCTCGTGCAACTGATTACAGACTAATCGAGTTTTGGAGAGTGGATCTTTTCCCTAGCCTCACTTGTACCCGATTCATACTATAATTAGATTCACCAAATAGTGACACCGAGAATCATGCGCTCCCGCATAGTAGGAAGCATCGTTCTTAAAGTGTCCTGCGATGTTCGGTCCTCTGAACCGATAATCATGACCCCTGCACAGCTTTACCCTAGCAGATTTTAGTGAGGAAAATAGCCAATACACTGGTTGAGTCTAGCGATTATAATGTACACCATTCCTTATTCCTTGAAAAATCATAGCCTCCTGAAAAGTGGTATTTTATAGCAGACTATGATAAAATGAGAAGTTAGTATATTACTAACGGACTCGTGTTATTCAATTGCACAACCTTTAGTGAAACGCAGCGAGCTGCGTGGTGCTTAATATTCCAACTTCTTTACTTTTCCCCTTTTTATGTTAAAAAATGCTTTATTTAATTTACGTTTTCCTGCAGGTTGAGAAAAAGTTGGGTTGTTTGCTGGCAGAATATCCACATTAATTCGCATCTAACTCTTCAAGTCTAGTGCCTATTCAAGTTATGATGCATACTATATACAAGAGGTTGATTCTTTCCTCATCAGCTATCATGGCTATAGAGGCTGCTAGCATTTACATCAAATTATTCAAGTTGTGCTAGAAAACTCCAATTTTATTGATTCGAACTGTATCGTCTTCAGACCACAGTCTTTTCATTGAAAATACCATATTCGGCTATTGATGAATGCTCTCCATCAGTATTTTCTGGAGCTCGCCCACCATTCAATTATACGTATGGAATTTCGAATGTGCGAGATGGTGATTGGTGTTCTGAAGGGAATCTTCGTGTACTAGCATTTCCGTAAGTATAAAACGCATGAGCTCGCGGATACTTCCATCATCGATTGTCTACCGACACCTTCCGCTGCGCCTGGCTGCCGGTCATACTCATCTCTTATCGTAAGTCTTGTGCAAATTAGGATCATTGTTGAATCTCACTCTATGTTTGTTTATACTTCTCGAGAACGAGAGACACGTGACAGGATAGACAAATTGCCTTCGAACTACATCAGGTGATGATATGCGTCGAGAGTTCGCGTATATGTGTCTTGACTGTTGCGAAGATAAAGAGCTCCAACAGTTGGTGCGATTCGTATCTGATAGGGATCTTTTCCTTGTAGCACTTGTTGGACACGACTGTGTGCAACGCAGATTGGTTTTCTCGTCCAATACTGTAGTTGAGGCGCAGGTGGTCTGGGCTCTGCCATATGCAATCGCGCGTTCACTTTCCGGTCAGCTTCAAGATGCGTCGGCACTGAGGTAGTACTGGTGGATTTTAACTTAGAAGTAAGCAACGCGGATTTGTGATACATATCGCGATTCTCCCGTGTGTTTGTGTGTTCTAGCCAGTTTCTTGGCAAGTCTGTGAGAGAGATCTTGTAGTAATCCTCATCGCATGCGAGAGTTCTTCCATAGGCGGCTGGTTCTTCAACGGTTTCAGTCATTGACGTTGAAGTAATACTTATGCAATGCTTTTTGTGGTCGAGGTCGAATGCTTGGGTTGTTTTTGTACCATTCTCTAATATTTTTGTGTGATCGTATTCTGCCTGTGTTTCATGATCGTGCTTATGACTCGTTCCCCTTCTCAGTGATCTAAACAGTTTCGCTAGCCCCATGATGATTTGATTTTATGCGCATGACACTATGGTTCATACATCAAATCTAGTTGTTTCTATATAGAAATTGAGACTTGAAAAGGTAGTGTAAAAATAGTTTCTTTTAGAGGGATATGAAAAATGGTATTTTTTTTAAGAAATGACTGTGTGATGAATGTTTAATATATTTTGGCCTTTTTTAGTTGTATTTACATGATGTAAAATTGTAAATAGGGAATCTGCTGGATTTTCAAGGAATTGCTGAACTGCTGAACTGCTGACTGCTGAGTGGACGGATTGGCAATTGAAACTTTGGAAGCTTTTTGTTGTTTTGTTTTTTTAAGAAAACCAATATGATAATTTTGTATGTAATTTTTTATACTCAAGTTCAGCCAAGCTCTAGAGTACTCTAGAGTAAAACGGAGTGTATTTTGAAAAGAAATTTTGAAAATACAAATTCTGGTTTTTTTTCTTCTTTACTTTGTTTTTTAAAACAAACCAAATATACTCCATCAGACTGAGACTCTAGAGAGTCTTCAGTCTCTAGAGACCACAGCCACGCCTGTGGTATTTTTTTGTTTTTGTTGTTTTTTAAAAACAAAAGAACAACAGATATGTAGTGCATTGCATACTAGTCTCTTAGAGTATTTAGCACTATAGTAGTAGAGTGATAGACCGCCAACATTTGAGCAAACAACTTGTCAAACATGTCGCGATAATCTTTGTACGACATGTCGGTCGAACCATGGTGTCGTCAGGTCCGCTGGAGGCTGCGTCGGTACACAAAATAGTACTAAAGTCGCGATCTTATGTGAATCGTCTAGAAGGCTATGCATGATGGGTGTGCGTAGTCGTCGTAAATCAACAAGGTGATAGTTCGATTATATTGCGTTATCAGAAGTTGGAGTATGGACTCTGGAGAGTGGGGTCACGCCGTCACGGGATAGACTCTGTAGGCATTAGACTGTAGAGTGTGTAGACTATGCCCACACCCAAGAAGAGAGAGAGAGAGAAGAGTGTATTTATACTGATAGTTCTGACTTCTGAGTTCTCAGTTCAACCGCAACGGTGATTTCCATAGTCGTCTGACTAATTTGTTGTCCTTTTTTATTTAGTTTTTACACATTGAAATTATTCGATCAGAATCGGGTTGGGTATGTTAAAGTGGTATTTGGCAATTGGTATGTTGAAAAGAAGACAAGTCCACCTTAAAAAAAAGCAGCTCCATTTTTGAAGTGGCCAATATGGTGACATGGGGCTGTCATTTTAAGGACCTGGGGGCTGGAGCGGGCATTATTAGGATCCAGAGTTTAGGGCGGCCATTGTTCTCTCCGGCCTCGCCAACATATTTTCAAACTTTCATGACCCTCTAGAGCAAGAAGAAAGGACAAAATATGGTTGATCGGACTAACGTCCGAGGGACATTTTCACGAAAATATATTAATTTATTACATAATCTAAAGTCAAGCACCTACATAGTTCCCTAAAAGTCACGTCTTTATTATACTCATGACCTTTATCATCTGTTCACAGTCCTTAGCCGGTGTTATCTCCACCTTAACACGTTCCTCCTGTGCATCATGTCGGGATCGTCGTCGTTAAGATCACTCTCACTCTCACTTGATGCATTTTCCACTACATCAAGTACACAAGCTTCTGCTTGGGTGACAGGTCGAAACCATTTGCCAGGACCTCGTAGAGAGTGCCTCCTCCCACCACTCAGATGCTCAGCCCTCTCTGGTGGCATATGTAATAACAAAGCTGATGTATACGTGAACGTGATCAATACTACCTGTGATGGCACATACATAGAAACACCTTTTTAGGCACGAGGGAACAACATTTTCAAACTTTAGCACATTGATCTTAGAAAAGGCCTGGCATGTCGATTTCTGGCTTAAAAGTCCAAAATTCGTACTGGAAGGGCATGGTATGGTGTAGGGCTGTAGGCGGCCAATATTTTCCAATTTTCTCAGAATCGGGTCACGATTCAAAAAGTGTCTCGAATCGGCTTAGTATTGAATCTTCCACATACTCTGAGTCTGGGGGAAAGGGGTAGTTTAGTGGAACTTTTTTTTTAAAGCGATTGCAATTTGCAACCTCATTTTTATATTTGTGTTTTTTTGGGAGGTCAATCAGATCTACGATCATAGCATAAACTACTACTAGCAAGACTGCTCTCAGCCTCTCACAGAGTAGTAGTCGCACACATAGACGCACGAGGGCCTGAGGGGCGATGCCGACGAGAGGCCGCAGCCCGCAGGCACACCGCACGGCCATTGGAATTCTCAATTTTAGCCGACTCTATGTATGTAGCCGCAAGCTCAAAGATCATGGGGGCTGGGGCATGGAGTGGTGGGCGGAAAGACACTTTTCTAAATTTCAAAAAAAAAAAATTTAAAAATAGAAAGCAAATTCCATAAAACTGTACGTATTCCTAAAAAAATTGAACAAGAAGGCTCTAAAAAGATTTTTTAAAATTGACCATATTGCGCTTGTCTGTATTTTTATGTATTTACTCTAAATTCGTTTCCGGTTGTCATATTTTTTTATAATTTCGAAGTTTAAAATATCACAGCCAGGCACCTAACAGGCTGACGGCTGACGCCAGACGCCGTGACGGATGACGGTCTGACCTCTGTGGAGTGTGAACCGTGAGTCTGACAGTCTGTGATTCCTGAGTCACTGACAGTGGCTGTACTCTCTCTCTTTGAGTGTGAGGGCTGAGGCTGAGACTTGAGAGTCAGGCCTGGCCCTGGACTCCTCTAGAGTCCTACTAGTAAATAGTGCGCCACAAGGACAAAAGTCATGGAGAAAATCCTTTCTGAGAGACCCAGTACAGTACCCAGGTCCCAGGTCCCAGGTCCCAGGAGGGGCGCCAGGCGCCGCCAGCGGCCATATTTTCAATTTTCATCCACAACACTAGACAGAAGAGGACTCCTACATACGACCTACAGTCCTACATTCCTACAGGCTACATTGCTACAAATCAACCAAATATGGTGTCGTCCATACTCCGTTATGGCAAAAAAAAAAATTATCTCTCTACTCTCCTTGTAGAGGTATCATGACTCATGAGAAACCACAACGGCAAAACAACCCCCCAGAAATGTAATTCTTATAGGCCTCGATTTTGTCCTTTTGGGGCGTTTGAGTCTTTGTTTCTTTGAGACCCTCAAAGTGAAACTAAGGGCGAACAAACAGAGGAGTGAGGACCGTATATATTCGATATATTAATGGGGGGGGGGG